CTCCGAAAGTTCTCATTCTCAAAGTCAGTGGACGGGTAGNCGGATCTCAGTCTGGTTCTGCCTCGGAGTATGATCGACGATCAAGAAGGATTGAAGCTGAAAGGCGAAGAAGACAGCATCAGATAGAGTTGGATAGAAGGAACAGGGAGATAGAACGCCGTAATCAGGAAAGACGTCAATCATCTGGGTCTGGTACTTCCGGTAGTAGTGGCGGAGAGTCGACAGGACGAGGGCGACAACAATATTCATCTACCGGTACATATTCATCCATAATTTAAACCCAATCCAGAGTAAAAAAAAAAAAGACTCTAAGGAGGACTTGAAGCTATTGATACAGAAGGGTCTTGATACATTACGGTAGCCATTGTTTTTGGTTTGACCCACAAATTTGAATGGGAGATCTATTCCTTATGGGTAACTAGTTCGATTTCAGGTTTCCAGCTGTACACTTATTAAGGTCTGTTTGTATTTCCAGGTCAAGGAGCTGGCGAAGGTCAAAGACGATTCTATACCGAAACCCGGTACTCAGGAACTAGTGGAACTAGTGGTACTAGTGGTACTAGTGGTAGGACTGGTACTAGTGGAACTAGTGGTAGGAGTGGTAGTTCGGGATCAGACAGCAGTAGCTACCCAGTTTATGGAAGCAATGGTCAAGGATCTAGTCAAGGATCTAGTCAAGGATCTAGTCAAGAATCTGGTCAAGGATCCGGCCAAGGAACTCGTCAAACGGTTTACCAACCCAGTGGAACATATGTACCATCAAGAGGTGGTTATGTCCCCACTGGAACACGAAGTTACATCCCTTCAGGAAGCTATGTGCCCTCTAGTGGTACAAGGGGAACCTTTACATCAAGTGGAACATATGTACCACGGAGAACATATGTTCCAAGTAGTTCGTATGTCCCCAGTGGATCAGGTACCGCGTTTGTATCGAGGGGATCTGGCACCGCATATATACCACGGGGTTCAATAAACCCTGGCGGTTCTGGGACATCGTATGTACCAAGGGGTTCTGTCAATCCACGCGGAGCTTATGTGCCAGGTGGAACTGGTTACGTATCGACAGGAAGTGGTTACGTTCCCAGTGGCTCTGGAAGTGGTTACGTTCCCAGTGGCTCTGGAGGTAGTTACGTTCCCAGTGGCTCAGGAAGTAGTTATGTACCCAGTGGTTCTGGAAGTAGATACGTTCCGGCTGG